CCAGGATGACCAGATGTCCTGATATTGGGGGTTTTATCTTAGCTAGGCACCTATATACCACCCACCCCATTCTGATTTTTCACACTTGCTATCTGGTCACCCTATCCAAGCCCCTTCTCAGTCTCTCTTCAGGGACCACTCTCATGAGGAAGTTCTGCTTTGGGAGGTGCAATCTCTCCTCCATTTGGCAGCCATAGAGGAGGTTCCGCAGTTACTCATAGAAAAAGGATTTTATTCCTGCTATTTCCTGATCCCAAAAGCAAAAGGATACCTCAGACCCATACTAGACCTGCGATAGGTCAACAGACCTCTCTGGAAAAAGATAAAGTTTTGCATTGAGACTGCTGAACTTGAATTAATATGCAAATTAGATACAATTAACTTAGGTTTGAACAGAGACTGGGAATGGTTGGGTCATTACACTAATTGAATCTATTTCCCCATGTTAAGTATCCTCACACCTTCTATGGGTCATCTCGATTATCACTTCAAAGGTTTTTTGTTTTTTCTCCTTCTGATGATAGCTCATCTCAGTTGATTGGCCTCTTACAGTTGGTATGGCTACTTCCACCTTTTCATGTTCTCTGTATGTATAAATATCTTCTTTCTGTGTGTTCCATTCTATGCATCCGATGAAGTGGGCTGTAGCCCACGAAAGCTTATGCTCAAATTTTTTAGTCTCTAAGGTGCCACAAGTACTCCTGTTCTTTTTGCAAATACAGACTAACATGGCTGCTACTCTGAAACTTACATTGTCATGTTGTCTTCCATTATCTCTTCCCCGGAGATGGGTATGCTGCCGTCAATTTGAAAGACTCATGTTTTCATGTGGCAATACATCAGAGCCCCAGGAAATTCCTGAGATTTGTGGTCAACCAAAGCCATTACCAATTTGCATGCCTACCGTTTGGCCTGTTCAGCTCCCTAGGTGTGTTCACAAACTGTGTGGCAGTGATGGTGGCATTCCGCAGAAAATCAAGATTTCAAGTTTTTTCCCTACCTGGACAATTGGTTGGTGAGAGGCCAGTCCAAGACTCAGCTGCTGTCCAGCGTGACTGTCATCCAGTCTATCTTTGATACACTAGGGTTGCTTATCAGCACAGAGAAGTCAGTCCTGTCTCCAGTGCAAAAAATAAAGTTCATAGGAGTAGTCTTGGACTCTGCAGAAGCCAAGACATTTGTCCCTCAATTACAATTCCAGATGATGCTGGCCATCCTTTTAGACCTGAAGAGTCATCCCACCATGACAATATGAAATTGCCTCAGGCTTCTGGGGCGTATGGCCTCATGCATTTATGTAGTCCAGCATGCCAGGCTCCATCTCAGGAAATGGCAAGGATGGATGGCTTCAGTTTACTTGCCAATTCATCACCCTCTAGACGTGGTAGTGCAAATGCCCACTCAAATTCTGGCCATGCTGGGCTGGGGGACAGACCCATCTAGTGTGTGTCTGGGGTGCCATTTGCTTCTCCTCAACCAGCTTTAACCCTAGTTACAGATGCTTCTGCTCTCAGGCAGGTCTCAGTTGGGTTCTCTGCAGACAGAAGTTTTATGATCTACACAGGATTTAACTCTGCAAATAAACATCGGAGAATTGAGGGCCATTCGACTAGTTTGTCAAGTCTTCCTTCCTCATATCAAGAGAAGTCTACATGTACTTACAGTCAAGGAGGACCTTGTTCACTCTGCTATGCCAAGAGTCATTCAGGCTGTGGGACTTGTGCATCGCCAATTTTAATCAACCTCAGATCCTTTCACATTTCAAGTGTGAAGAATGGTCTGGCAGACTGGTTAAGCAGATCATTTACCAGTCATGATGAGTGGTCTGTCCATCAGGACATTGCCACATCCATTTTGTGGCGGTGGGGGACTCCCTATGTAGACTTCTTTGCAACATAAGTCAGCAGGAAGTGTAATTGGTTTTGTTCTCAACAAGGTCACAGTCCTGGGTCCCTCACGGACACTTTCCTGTTGCCTTGGGCAAGTGTGCTCCTGTATGCATTTGCTCCACTCCCACTCATACCAAGAATATTGTTGAAAATGAGGCAGGCTCATGCCCAAGTCAAAGTTACAGCTCCAGCGTGATATCAGCAATGCTGGTTTTCCACTCTGCTGTACCTCTCAGTCAAAGATCCGCTGACTCTACCACCAGATCAAGACCTGGTCTCCCAGGACCACAGTCACCGCCTCCTCCCCAACCTTCAGGTCCTCCACCTGACAGCCTGGATGCTCTGTGGTTAATGCCCCAGGAAGAGGTTTGTTCAAAGGAAATTCAAAATCCACTTTTAAAGAATAGGAAACCATACACTAAGTATACTTATCTGATGAAATGGAAGCGATTCTCCATCTTGTCCCACTAGAAAGGGGTTTCCCAAGTCCAGTTTCCACTACATCATATTCTGGGCTATCTGTTGTTCCTGAAACAATGTCTGGCTGTTAGTTTCATTAAGGTTTGTTTAGCAGCTGTTTTAGCCTTCCACGCTCCAATTGATGATTCTGTTTTTTCCCCAACCCTATGTCAATAAGGTTTTTAAGGGTTTGGAAAGGTTGTACTCTCAGGTAGAGGATCCTGTTCCCCCTTGGGACTTGAGCTTGGTGGTGTCAAAACTGATGGGTGCTCCCTTTGAATCGTTAGCTATATGTTCCTTATTGTGTGTCTCAGGGTACTCTTTTTGGAGCTACTCACTTCTGCCAGGAGAGTAGGTGAATTGTATGCTCTGTCTTCTCCGTACGCGGTCTTCTACAAAGACCAGGTTTATTTAGGTCCACATCCAAAATTTCTTACTAAGGTGTGTCTCATTTTCATATCAGTCAAGCAATGTACTTACCTTCTTTCTTCCCGAAGCCTCGTGCTCATAAGGATGAAGAGAGACTCCACGCTTTGGATATCAGGAGAGTGTTAGTGTTCTACTTAGACAGGACTAAACAGTTTAGCTCATTCTCACAGTTGTTTGTGGCAGTTGCAGACAGGAGGAAAGGTCTCCCAGTCTCTTCTCAAAGGATCTCAACTTGAATATCCTCCTGTATACGCTTGTGTTATGACTTGGCCAGTGTAGCTTCATTAAGCAGAATACAAGCACATTCATCTACATCACATGCAGCCCCTGTGGCTTTCCTAGCTCATGTGCCTGTCCTAGACATTTGTAAAGCAGCAACTTGGTCTTCAGTGCATACCTTTACCTCACATTGTTGAGACTCAGCAATCTAGAGATGATGCCATATTTGGGTGTGTGGTCATCCAGTCCTTATTCAGGTAGGCTCCAAGCTGGAGGTGGGATCGAACTGCTTGTGAGTCACCTAAAGTAGAATGGATATGTGCAATCACTTGAAGAAGAAACAGTTACTAACCTGTTTCGTAACTGTTGTTCTTGGACATATGTTGCATGTGTCCATTCTACCATGTGTTACCCTCCATATCATTCTCTCCAGTAAAAAGGAACTGAGTGGATTTGGCGTGGCTCCACCCTGTATACCACCATGCATTAGCGCAGGGCAGCAGATGGGTACTTCTGAGGGGAAACTCTCCATCAATGCACTGGGCGCACACACCTGAAGTGGAACAAGTGTTACAGAACGGGTTTGTAAATTTCTTTTTTTTTTTTTTTTTTTAAGGTGGGTGATGTAATATCTTTTATTGAACCAACTTCTGTAGATGAGAGAGACAGAAGCTGGTCCAATAAAAGATATTACCTGACCGACATGGCTATCATTACACTGCATACATGATCTTTTTTAAAGAAGACAGTCTTTAAAGCTGGTCAGCACTTTTTTCGCTGCCTTCTGGATTTGTCTCTTGAAAGCCAGTCTTTCCAAAGTTAGCTGACTTTCCTCACTCCTCTTTATCTTTTGGAAACATGGTAATGCCAACTCTTTGTGCCCATTCTGGCCACCTGGTTCTCAATATTCTGAAGACTGCATTTCATTTTCTCCCACCTCCACATCTTGAAAATTAGGGTTGTGTTGTCCTGCATACCAGTCGGATGCTGTTTTTAAGTGTCTTAGTTACATCTATGTAATGACTTCTTGACTTAAAGGTAACTTGCAAAGGGGGAGGAAGAAATTGAGTACACACTATTTTTTGCTTTATAACATATAAAAGAGGCCTGAAATTTTCTCCCCCTTCCTTCCTCCCTCCCTCAATTTTTGTCTGCTTGTTCTTTTCTAGAAACATCAGGAATATCAAGGCTTCGCTTTTCTGTTTTTATTGGTAGATTCCCTGCAGTGATGTAAATAAAGTCTGAAAAAGCTCCCAAATCCATAATCAAAGGGGATGCTGAATGTAAAAAAAGTGCTTGAGTTAAATATATTAACAGACAATTTTTAATCATCTGAATACTTCCATGTCAATTCATATGATTTCATTTGTTTTATGTTTCTGATGTCAAACCCTACTAGGTTTGCAATTGTCCATAGTCCTTAAGGAAAAGCACTCTTTTAGGGTAAACAAGACCTGAATTTCTAATATTTAAAAACTTAGTAGGTTGTCACTGTGCATCAAGAGGAAGGGCACGGGGCACAAACGCATTTTTTAATTTTGCATGTCACCTTTACAAACAAATACAGTTGTTTTTTACAGGGATGGTCTAAAAACTTAAGAAAACTATTTGAAGAATAGCTGTCTTTTAATTTTGTATTACACCGCAACTAAGTGTGAATTATTTTATCTTTTATTCGGTGTGAATGTTGTTTTTCACAAATCAGGTTTTTGCCTATAAATTTTTTTAATGAAAAAAAAAAAAAGAAAGGAAGAGAGAGAAAAAAATACTCTAAGAGATTCCATAACTTATTCTGTTATAGTATGGTGGGGTTTTTTCCCCCCTGGGGCACCTGTTCACAACAAGTCTGATTTGTCTACAGAGAAATCCTAACATTTAAATGAAAATTCTTATTGAATTATCTCTGTTTAAATATATGAAAACCACAATATTTAGCCAGACCCATAGACATTCTATTAAGACATATTGGATAAAGGATTAACTACTATTTTTGTTTTGTTGCAGGGATCTCTCCAAAGTTAATATCCTGGTACCTGGTGCTGGGCTAGGTAGATTGGCCTGGGAAATAGCTATGCTCGGTTATGCTTGCCAAGGAAATGAATGGAGCCTCTTTATGCTCTTTTCTTCTAATTTTGTACTCAACAGGTACTTAGCTTATATTTTACTTGCTGGTTGCAACCTATGTGTACTAGGGAGGCAAAAATCAGTGACCAATCCTTTAACAAAGTAATAACCAATCAAAATAAATTCCAAAATCCCTAATCTAGGTAACCAGATCTTTTAGATCTCTTGCTTTCATGTAAATGTCTGGAAGAGGGTAGGAGGGAGGAATGGGAGATTATTCCAAAATTTGACTTGGAAATTTATTATAGCCATACCTGTATGTCATAAAGATTGTAGAAGCAAGAATTGCCTTGTGGTTAAAGCACTGAACTGGAACTCAGGAGATCTGGGCTCAGCCACAAATTTCCTGTTTGAGCTTGAGTAAGTTATATAATTTCTATGCTTCTGTTTTAAATCTGTAAAATGGACGTACTTCTCTTCTCACAGAGATGTTGAGGATAAATTTGATTCATATGTTCAAGGAGTTCTGATACTATGGTGATAAGCACCAAAGAAAATTTGTAAATAAAAATAAAATAGGTTGCATTTATTACTAAAAGTTAAGGCAAATTTCCACAAGTATTTATTTAATTTTATGTATACATTTGTTGTTGTTTGACAGAAAAATTTATTAATAGATGCCTCATTGCTATTAAAATATCAAAACACTTATTAGGCAATCTTTCTCATCCAGCAGCTGCGTACACCTTCTAATTACTCATAGGTTCACAGCGGTAGAATCCACTATAAATGTTAAGTTTAAGTGAGGCTATGATCAGAAAAATTATCTTACAAGCATTACACCACACGTATAATTAGAAGCATGACATGTTGATGTCCCATGTTCATTTTCCATTAATGACAGATATTAGTCATGTTGCTGAACGCACTACTGGAAGGCGCTCGGCTTCTGTGTTAATGAGCGCAGTATAAGAACCTATATAGAACAGAATGATTTCCATAACTAATCTTCAGTTGACAAGTCAAAACAATACTGAATCAGGAGTGCTCCAATCTTTCTTTATCCAAGTGTTAAGCTGCTTTCTGTTTTGTACCTCACCAGCTATCTCCAACAATACATTATCTGAAAAATGATATGAGCAGGAATCTGGTGCCATTTTTAGTCAGTTTCTGGCTAATGCTCTAAATTTCCTTTAGAAAGATTTCACTGCAGAAGCTCTAAATTCAGAGTCTGTTCCAGCAAGATTATAAAAACTTCACATATGAAGTGAGTTGCTAACCATTTTTTTATCATTCAATATTTTCTCTTTTGGTACTTGCATTTTTATTTACTGACTTTTAAAAAACAAACAAACCCTAGTGCTTAATTTAGTAAAAAGGACTCTTACGGATTATATCTAGATTTAAAGTGTAGATAGCATTCCTCTCTTTTCCTTTGTCCATGTCTTGTTTATCACATTTTGAAAAAAAAAAAAGAAGTTTCAAAAACATGCTGGTAATGTAGGTAGTTTTTGATGGATACTAAAATCCTATCTAATTGTTTGCCTTTAGCATCTACTCAAACCACTTCCATACTTCTAACCTGATATGGACTATTAATGAGTAATTAAAATCACATTCCTCTCTAGACATGCTTGCCATCAAACACTTGGTTCAGATTTGTATTTAAGTGAATGAAGTTAACATTTGATTCAAAAGCATTATTGTATGCAAATTTAAGAACCATGGGAATTTGATGGGGAAGCAGAGAGAGACAGTGGTTGGCTATTATCACAGTCCCAGAAAGGAAATAGCCAATCCTACTACCAATGAGCTGTTTAGAGGGAGAACAGAAGGTGGATTTGGTGGGTGGGGAGATATCAAGATACAATAGTTGTTCTTATCCTGAGTTGGAATACCAGTAAGTATATGGAAGGATATCACATTTTTTTTATCTCCCAAGGTTCAAAAGGAACCAGATGGCCAGTAGACTGGCTCATCTGTCTGAAGTGACACATACCTGTGAAAACACTTAATACTTTGATTCTTATACTTACAATTTTTTTATTTTATTTTATTACTGTAGCACCCAGGAACCTAGTTATGGACCAGGACGCCACTGTGATAGCATTGTACAAACATAGAACAGAAAAATGGCCCTTGCCCCAAAGAGTTTATCGTCTAAGGTTGTGTACACACTGCAATTAAAAACCTTTGACTGGCCTGTGCCAACTGACTTGGGCTCAGGCTAAGAGGTTGTTTAATTGCGGCATAGACATTTGGGCTCAGGCTGTAGCCCGAGCCACAACGTCTACACTGCAATTAAACAGCCCCTTAGCCTGAGTGAGTTGGCACAGTCCAGCCATAGGTCTAATTGCAGTGTAGACATACAAGTATAAACGAGCCAACAGATGTATACGTACAAACAGGGGAGAGGAGGGAATAAAAGGAAATAATTACTGTGTTGTTCATCATGATAGGCAGTGATATCTGGTGGTTGGGAGACTGCTTATGTTCAGTATTTCCACTTTTATCATTCATAAATGAGTAATCTCTCTTAGATGTGTAGATTTCTTGTGTTGGGTTGAGACCCCTAAATGCAAAGTCCTCTCCCGTATAAAAATCATAAAAAGGTCTGGAAAGGACTTCAATAGGTCATCTAGTCCATCCCCCAATTAGTTATGTGGTATAATTAACATATTCTGTAACCCACTGGGTCTTCAAGTAACGTCCCTATGGGCGTTCTATTCTAAGTGTGCTTGAGCCTCCTGCGCCTTTGATCGGAGATTTCTCGTAGTAGTGTTCGTTCAGCCTGCACATGCATGTTACTTAGTCTCATGCTCCGTGCTGTTATATAGCACTGCGCGGGTGAACCACCTTCAGTTCCTGCTCAAGCTTCTCTGCCTCAGATAGAGCCTTAGCAGTTGTCTGTGTTTTTACCTCCACTGTGTCCCATGAGGTTTTTTTTTTTTATTATTTAGTACTTAGTAGTAATTTTGGCTGTGTTAGGGAATGAATATATATATATATATATATAAGAGAGAGAGAGCTATTTTTCTTAGTACCCTCTAGATAGTTTCTCCCCTCCTGTGAGTTTGATTTTTCTCGGAGGGCATGCTGGGATCTCCTGGTCTCAAATGTTGCCTGTCCTGCCAGGAGGCAATCCCAATGAGTGACGGTTAGTCCTGGTGCATCTGTTGTCTCGGAGAATCTCCTGTTTCCCAAAAGTGCTGTCTGGCATTAAAATCTAGAGCCAGAAAAACAGAGAGATCAAACTTCGACTCCTCATGATGAAGAGCTCACTGCACCTGGCCTCTCCCCCTCGCCAGGGGACTCCCTGTGTACACCAGTCTGTGAATAAGTCTGCTGCCTTCACTGTTTCTGAACTGCGCTCCTTGAGGGCATCTAAGAGGAAGACCCAAGATTCCTCCCATAATATTCACAAAGACCGTCCCTCGAGATTCTTCATGTAGCAAATCTGCCTCTAAGAAGTTGTGGTCTCGGATGACTCCTGTACTTCAGCACCCATTGCTTTCTGATCTGGTACCCACAAGGCTGCTGATTCCTCAGGTACTGTCAAACCTGAAGACTGTAGAGAAGAGGTCCCCAAACTGTGGGGTGTGCCTGCTGGGGGCGGGGACATGGAGGAACGTGGGGGTGGGGGGGAGAGGGGAGAGAGTGTGGCTAGGGCCCAGGCCAGCCCCAAAAGGGGGTGGGGAGGGAGAGCCACCTAGCTCCTGGCCCTGTGCCTGAGGCCCTGGCTGCCAGCCCAGCCTCCTTACCACTGTCTGCACATTCCACCACCCACCCCCAGAGCCATGGCCCCACTTCCAGCCAGGGCGCAGATGGGTAAAGGGAGGTGTGACCCTGAAAAGTTTGGGGACCACTGCTGCTGAGTCTTAGGCTCCAGGAGGTCGGTGATACTATCAGTGGAGCAAGGCTTCAAGAAGAGCTCTCTCTCTCTCTCTCTTCTCTACCAGTACTGGAGAAGCGCACTCAGCTCTGTATTGTCCTCGGAGCAGTTGAGATTCATGGTACTGTCGACTCCTTCAGCCACTATTATTTCAGCGCAGACTATGGACATGGTACCGACAACACTTGGTATCACAGGAGTTTTGCTTTCTCTGTGACTTTGCTGTGTCCGAGATGCCCGACTCATCATTACATGGCTCTGATTTACTCCTATTACTGAGGACTTCTAGATCTCCAGACATTCACCCAGTACTGACGGTTTCATCTTTCTTCCAGAACTCCACAGCTACAGAGTGATTTGGAAGAGGATGATTCTGATGAAGATCTTGCCTCAGTCTCCCAAATATCTCTGCAAAGCTTTCCCTCTGTTCCTATTGAGGCTCTTTTCCAGAGATGTCTGAGGAGATTGGTGTCACTTGTCAGAAATGACCCCGACCGCTGTTTCGCTGGTATGAACACCCATGGATGCCTCCACCCATGCCATGTGCACCACCTCTTTGGCCATACCGGGACCTTTGGGCAGCCTATCATCAGCAATTTTCTAGGCCTTGAGAACCACTACTCACAAAGATAGAGTCATCACCCTCCCTCCCTAGGAGACCAGAACTGCAGGAAGAAACCTTTTGAGGAACAGGAAGCTAGGGCTGATGAAAAGGTCTCTCCACCAGCCGACATCTCTTCTTCATCCCTGGATGAGGCAGCTATGCCACCTCTTCCCTCCCTGGTGGATGACTTCAAGCAGTTTCAGGAACTTGTCAGTAGAATTGTGGATTCTTTGCAGATTCCTCCTGAGAGGTTAAAGAGCCACACCGTAAGCTGCTTGACATCCTTCATACAGCTCCATCTGTTATCTTGGCTGCTAGAGGCCCTACTGGACTATGCAAAGGTTATATGGCACACCCTCACTACCTACATGCAAGGGAGCAGATAAGAAATATTCAATCTAAGGACTCCGAATTTTTATTTTCTCATCCCTTTTCTAACTCCTTGGTGGTTGATGCAGTTAATGAATGTGGGAGGCCGCACCATGCTAAATCTATGACCTACCACAAGGAGCATAAGCACCGTGACCTGTTGAATAGAAAATCGTATTTGTCAGTACTTTGCAGTTCAGAATCGCCAACTACCAGCTGTTAATGGCAAAGTACAATCGTACAAATTATGTCAAGCTGAACTCATTTATTGAGCATCTACTAACAGAACATAGAGAGTAATTCCAGCCAATTATTGTGGAAGGCCAGCTGCTCAGGCCTCTGCAGGCTCCCTCGATGATGCTGATACTACCGCCTGTTCGATTTGTACAGCAGTAGTTATGAGGCGGGCCTGCTGGCTCCAGCTCTCAGGATTTCTAAAGCAGGTCGAAAATACAGTCGAAGACCTCCCTTTTGATAATACTAAATTATTCACTGACAGCATGGATGAATCTCTGCATACATTAAAGGACTCCAGGGCTACTTTACATTCTCCCAGGATCCATATAGCTGCCCAAAAGAGAGAGCTTAGTAATTTCCTGTTGGTGAAGAGATTTCATCCTGCCCAATTCTCGAGCTCCCCCAGATACCATATGAACCTCAGTGAAAGAGACAGAGGTTCCAGGGAAGAAAACCACCTACTTCTCAACCTTTACCACTCCTGGCAGACTTGGGAGTCTATCACTATGGTTTTGGAGATCAACTCCATAGGGTACTCCATCCATTTTACTTCTCTTCTGCTTGCCAACACCCCTTTCCTGTCCCCCTTCAGGGACACCTCTCACAAGAACCTGCTACAAAACTAAATATGCTCTCTCCTCTTCTTGGGTGCTGTAGAATTGGTTCCCGGGCAGCACAGACGGAGAGTGTTTTATTCCAGGTATTTCCTGGTATTTGGTATTTCCAAAAAAGAATGGGGGTTAGAGACCTATCCAAGATATAAGGCTACTAACACCTTTGTGAAGGCCCAAAAATTCAAAATAGTGACACTTGCAGCAATAATTCTATCACTGGACCGAGGGGATTGGTTCTTGGCCCTCAACCTTCACGACACACATTTCCATATTGCGATCCACAAATCTCACAAAAGAGTCCTACGTTTTACTGTTGGTCAGGACCATTTATAGTACACAGTGCACAGTTTCAGCCTATTTTCTTCCCCAGCGGCCTTTTCAAAAATTGTCAGTAATAGGGGCATACCTCCGCAGAAAAGGAAATCTTGTGTTCCCTTATCTAGACAACTTCTGAAAGGTTGCTCCCTAGATGTAACTTCACGGGCATCTTGTGAAGCCACAGACCTCTTCCTCAGTTTGGGCCTATTATTGAACATTCAAAACGTCCACCTTGACCCCTGTGCAAAAGTTGGAATTCATAGGAGCGTGTCATTTTAGTCACTTTTCATAGTTGAAATAGTCTGGAAGGGTTTCATGTTACTTTGCTATGTGTTGGTCCACATTGCAGTGTACAGAAAGAGAAATGGCATGAGGCTGTTAAGATTAATTGCAGTACTGTAAATGTATATGCTCAAATGATATTAGTAAAACTGCCCAATGGCAAATTATTTTACTTTGTAGATCTAATGAAATAATCTAAATACATACTTTTGTTTAAAGGATGACCTTTCAGAAAAATGTTTTTACTTTGCTGTGCCACAAAGTCTCTCTTATTCTGACTCAAGAAAGGCAACTCTCAGCAAGAATCTAGAATGAAAATAGGTATTCTTAGGAAAATATAAAAATAAGAAAGGACTTAAGTCATCACCCTTCTCTTTATTTATAAAATAAACAAGTACACTCTTCCATGACAAACAAATGGGAATTCTAATGGTTTAGCACAACTGAACATATGTAATGGCAATTTTCACTCATCTTGCAGAAAGAACTGTACTATTGGTTTTCTTTTAAGCTAGACATAAAACATGGTGGAAATACACTAAGCAAAAAGAAGACACCCCCCCTTTTCAATAAAACTGTGTGTTTTATTTGTCTTGAAGAAGTTGGAATAATAACCTAAGTAAAACCTACAGAAGTACTTTATAACATCCCGATTAGCAACTAAATTCATCATACATATTGTTGAAAATCAAATCATTTTATACTTACCAATTTTATTGCAAAACACCTACTTTTCTAAGTAATACGTGAGCAGTTAGTTGAAACTGAATCGTTCTGACTTTCATATTTTGCAGATGCTCTGAAATTAACTCTCATAAACTTTATCCCTGGATTCATCAGTTTAGCAATAACAGGAGATCTGCTGATCAGATACGACCAGTTTATTTCCCTGATGTTGACCCCCACAGTCTTCCTTCTGGTGCAAACTTTTCTATGACAGCAGGGGATTTTCAAGAAATTTACTCAGAGTGCAGTAAGTAGAGAAATTAGAGGTCAGAATTCATGAACACACTAAATATAAACCCAGTATGGAAGAATAGAATTCTATTTAAAATTAAAACCAAATTATGGCTTGGATCATTAAAGTAGGCACTAAAGTTGTATTACACCTAGATTCTTCTCAACCAAAATGAGTTGAATTGAAAGAAGCAAAAGTTATACGTGTGCTCTAGCATATTTAAGTGTCTAAATTGTATCCTTGTTGTAGGGTTATATATGCTCTGTTCATTTAATGAGAATGGTGATATCTTGGACAACTTCCAACACTGTGATCTTTCGTGCCTATTTTCTTTCCTTGAATTAGAAGAGTGATTGATGTTAAAGAAATGTACAATATAAACAGCCTATGCTTTTCATGGATATAAATGAAGTGAAGTCTAATTATTTATTGTTGATTTAAAAATAGACAACATGGCAAATTATTACTAAAACAATTATTTACAAATAAAACAAATAGATATTCATGAACTATCAATGACCAGTATTTCAAGGATGTGCAAAGGGATAATATTTATGAAAGATCACAATGTTCCTGTCAACATAAACATCCTTATTGTCATTTGTGAAATCTGTCTGGATAAATAATTTTTGTTGCAACTGATGAGGTAATTTTTCTCCCCTAATTCATGTACAGAAGATAACTGTACTTACTGTACTTAAATATTTTCCACCTCAGTTCCTAGTACTAGTAAGACTGGAAGTGATGATGGATTTTTTTACTTTTATCTGGAGGTTATTTGTCTATACAAAGTACTAAATGACCAGCTGGTGCTATTCCTTCCTTGCACTTGGCATACATGTTTGAACCCGCAATTATTCTCCTTGAGCTTGCAAGTTTTTGGCCTGCTTTTTTTTTTAGACCTTTGCCCTGCTAAACACTGGTTTCTTAAGAAGTAGTAATATCTTTTCCCACAGGCATAGTGGCTTGTAGTCAGCCCCCTGCTACTGTTCAGATGTTTGTAGCTCAAACCAGGGAATGAAGGCTGTTGTAAGTCAGAAATAAATCTAAAAATAATTTTTTTAAAAAATATTTATTTGAAGGTAACAGGGCCTAACCTTTCATAACTTCAGAGAATATGGGTAGATGGGAAAAGGAAATCTGCACTTCAAAAGACTTCCCTTGTATCTATGCAAAGCATTAATTTAAAGAAAGGTTAAGTACAATAGAAAATACAAAAGTAGAAATGTGTGGTTTTGGATAAAGATATTTCAAAGTGAAATCACCAAATATTTTGATGATGGGCAGCCTTCTGTTCTGGATTTTAACAGTGCTAAAGAGGCCCAGAGTCCGGGTACATTTTTGTTTTCCTACTTTTGTGTACACAGTTGTGGTATCCATGCTCAAACAATTGAGTGTAAAATCAATTAATTAAAGTATCAGCTCTTGAGCCTTGCTTAATGGAAATCTGGCCCTAAGGGTATGTGTACATAGTGGTTCTCAAACTTATTTGATCTTGCCCCCCTTCTTTGTATCTGTAGTAGTTTTACATCCCTGTTCCCGTCACACAAGTACATATACCAATGTGTATGGCGGCAGTGCTTCGCTCAAATCAGTTTCAGCTTAGTTTTTTGCATGTCTCTCTTCCCCCTTTCCATGGCACGAGTGATCCATTGTAATAAGAGCAAAAGCAAAACTGTAGTTGTGGTCCATGCTTACAATTAAATGCGCACAGTGCATCGTAGCAGACAGATTAATGTACAGATGGCAACAACTTTGTATAATACTGTGCAAGTTTAATGGAAATCTCAAAATGCACAGCACCATGTAGAGTCAAATGCAGAGGAATCCGCTTTGCTCTAGTTATTCATTGCTGTGGGTAAAATGTCCACAGTAAAGCTTCTCACCCCCCTTCCCTTGGATGTATTCTGCCCCTCAGTTTGAGAACCTCTGATCTACACTGCAATTAAAAACCCAGTGCTGGCAGGGCTCAGGGTAAGGGGCTGTTTAAATGTGGTATAGATGTTCAGGCTTGGGCTGGAGCCCAGGCTCTAGGACCTACAAGGTTGGAGAGTCCCAGAGCTCTGTCTGCAGCCTGACCCTGAATGTCTGCCCCACAATTAAGCAGCCTGAGCCCGTGTCACCTGTTACAGGCCACCCCAGGGTTTTTAGTTGCAGTGTAGGCATACCTTTATTGCCCTGCTTTTACAGTAATACAGTATTATTGGTTTTCTTTCAATAAAATGTCAGGAAATATTTAACTTCTAGCCATTCTCTTTACTGTTAGCTAAAGCTGATCTTAGGTGTGACTAAATAATCTATATATTCTGATACTAAATGCTAAATGCAAGCCAAGTCTGAAGTCTTATACAGAGGATTGATGTTGCAGCCGATCATGTGCACTCGATAATGTATTTTCTTTGTACAGATATGTGGGACTGCATAGCAACCTGCTTCTTCATAGATACAGCGCATAATGTCATTGATTACATTGATACAATATGGAAAATTCTCAAACCAGGAGGAATATGGATAAATTTAGGTAAATTGTTCATCTTCTTGCTCTCAGTTCTATTGCCTGGCATGACCAATGGCCCCTGGTGAGTGGGAGGAGCAGTTGCAGGGGAAGTCCTGCTCAGCATTCATAGCCATGAAATCTTTAGCATTTTTAGCTACCCCATTCTCTCAAGCCTCTGCGCATGTGTCAACAGTGATTTTCAGATTCTTATTATTCAGCCAAATCTGAGTGAATTTTCATAAGGAAACAAAATGCATCTCCCTGGCCTGAGGACTGCACCCTCCAAAGTGTCACATCCATACTCCAAAGCACTGAGGTGCTCAGTTTCTTAAATTCTTTAACCATTTCTTTTTAACATTGGCAAAACAATGTACTTTCCCCCCAATCTTGTTCTCTCAGATGGCTGAACCATTTGTTGCTGAAACTTTAGTTTGTTAAAGCTGTAAGCAACTGAAAACGGGCTAATAATGAAAAGCGGTAGACAGCCTAATTACAGGCACGGCTGTCAGCTAGCTCTACTTATTATCAGTTAGTTTTACAGCTCAGGGTGTCATATTTTTTTTATTTGTTGATTTCATACTTATCCCAAATGCTACAGAGTTGACTTCATATAAAAGTTTAGATAAAAGTATACTTCTGACAATAAAATTGGTATTAGTGTTACTGAATCCCTTTATCTTTGTATTCTAGGTCCTCTCCTTTACCACTTTGAAAACCTGGCAAATGAACTTTCTATAGAATTGAGTTATGAGGATATAAAAAATGTTATATTACAGTATGGATTCCATCTAGAGGTACGGATAGATTGTGAGTAATGCTTATTGGAGTAGATGGGTCAACCAAAACTAGACATATTAGGGCTTTTCCTTAAATGTTGTTTAATATATATATTTAACTTTTAAGATGCTTACATGTTTCTGTTGACAATTGTAGTTACATTTAAGCTGTCTGGTTTTTAATTCATTAAAGGGCAAATAACACTGACTGTAAACACATAACAGTGATGCCTGTTCAGAGGAGAAATACACATTTTGGAGGGAATTGCTTCAGGTGCTATTTCAGAAAATATTCTGAAAACTTCAATTTTTATTTTCAGGTGGAGAAAGAATCTGTATTGTCTACATACACTGTGAATGAACTATCCATGATGAAATACTACTATGAATGTGTGTTGTTTGTGGTTAGGAAACCAGAGTTGCAGTGTTTCAAATAGATTCTTCAGAAAAAATGCTGGAGATAATACTAAAATTTACAACACACAATGGACTAGGTAATGACTGGATACAACCTCAAATCAGTGGTGCCTTGTTTATTCTTAACAGGAATTTGAGAGTGTCTATTTTCTTAATACCTGTATTGCTATCCAGATATATACTGTGCCATGCATATTTGTACTGTACTAGTGAAAATGGAAGAAAATGTACACATACACAGCCCTCATTCATCAGAATGCATACAAACATCCCATTTTCACAAGTATAAAACTCCTGTTTTAATGTCTGCCATGAGGTTGTCCTGATAAGACTGGTTTAATAATTATTCAGCAGTACTGAAATCCAAAATAATTTCCCTTTTATCTGCAGCGGTCTGTAACATGCACAAGCTACAGCTCTCAGGATCTGTTGGAAAGGATGTACAATTCTATGTTTGATATCAGAACTGGGAATGTTATTTCCACTTTCGATCTGAGGCTTAAAACAAAAAATGTTTGTGTATTCCCTCAGTTTTTAAACAAAATTCTAATTGTTTTCATTTTTCCTTGTGACCTTATGAATGTTTAGAGGTATAATACAAGCTCAGCCACAGTTTAGAGAAGGATTTCTTAACATCAATTTAAAAATAGAATATTTACAAAATCTGAAATTATTGAACAGTGCTAAAAAGTTTCTTGAAAGCTGCATTTATTGTGACTTAGCGCTCCCAGGACCATTTTCTGTAGGACTGAAAATAGAAACAAAAGATAAAATATTTTAGAAACTATAAATTATAATTTTCTGGCCATGCTAAGCTTAGCAATCTATTCTGATAGTTTGTTGGCTTTGGTAAGTTGAATATTGATACATGAAATCATAGTACGGAGTGAAGCAAAGCATCATGTCACAAAGGAACGGGAGTAAATTAACCTTGAAACAGAAATAAGACTTGGTCTGCTAATGCAGGAATTGCACTCTCACTTTGCCCATTTGAAGTTTATCAGTGTAACTTATCTGTTGCTTAAATAAAGTGTTTGAAGCATTTATTTTAAGGATTATTAGACAATAGAGAAATCCTGCTACTTTCTTTTCTTTTTAGAAAGCAGTTACACAGTTGGGACAACTGTGCCCAGAGTGTATGGCTGTGCTGTAATAATGGGGAGTCATTAAGTTTAAAATTAAGCAAATCCTATGTGTTGTTCCTTTGCCTTGCACAGGAGCTGCCCCTGGTCTTTCTTTGCAGAGCTCATCCCTTACCCCCTCCTTATACCTGCTGCTGGAAGCAGCTCTGTCCCTTCCCATGATGGAAAGGCAGCTACTGCCTCCAGGCAGCTACTGCCCACTGATATAAACCAGCCACCTCTTGTCCCCCAGGCTGGCTCACAGGGCACATCTAGAGCAGCAATCAGCTTGCTGTGCTCCAGCAGTGTCTCAAAGCGCTTTACAAGCCACATTGTGCTGCTGGGAGTGAGGTGGGAATCCCTCATTATACAGAGGGGAAGGACGTGTGTGTACAGGGACTACACCTGCAGCCCTGAGAACTGGGCCCAGCTGCCTTGGCCCAGCTCAGACTCTGTCACCAAGCCAGGAATAGAGTCCAGGGAGCTGGGATTCTGTGGCCAAAGGCCTGGCTGCACTGGGAGTGTCTGGCCAAAGGTGGGGCTGGCCAGAGGACAGGGAGCTGGTTTTGAGATGGGAGGTGCTGTGAAGCTGCTCTGCATTGCACTGAAGAAGGCTCAGTGAGTGACTGTGAGGCCACGCTGCAGTCACCAGGCCATATGGCATGCCCTCCCACCCGCACACGTTACCTCTGCTGCCAGGGTTCATTACAGAACCGCTAAATTGTGCCCCAGCAATATCAACAGTTATGAGGTGCCTCTACAGCAGCCCTTATATTATTGATGTTCTGGTGTGAACCCTGGTAGAAATCTAGGGGGCACATGATTTCCACCCCTGCTCACCTCTGGCTGTTAGCAACAACTTCTATATTTGTTTCAGCATACCTAGGTTAATTGTTGGATATTTGATTGGAACTTTAAGGCAATTTACATGTGGTACTTTAAATCTACCTCTAATAATATGTTTCCTTGTTCTAAGTACGTTGCCTACTAAAGTAAATTAGATGGATATTAATCCACAGATTGTAATTTCATACAATCATTTTGTATTTTGAAGTTATATAAATATTTTCTATGAGAAGAATTATTAAATGACTTGTTTTGAGGAAGGATCAAATTAACTGCTTTGTTCTCTTTACATTAATCTAATGGTTAACTTAGCTACACTATCATCCCCTTTGAAAATCCTTTTAAAGGTAAAAAAGGTATGGTAGGGAATCAAGCCGTTTCCATGGAAATGGCACTGGATAATAGATTTTAAATTTATGGTATTTTAAACTCACACTCATATTCATCTAGCTGTAGTATCTTTTTCTTGGCATTGATAAGGTCATTTTTAGCTTTCTGTTTTTAAGGCAGATATTTCATGCTTCCAATTTTGCTTTAATTGAAAGTACAATTTTAAAGTTCACATGGGCAAAAAGGCATTTACTATTTTAAATGCTGTCTAGGAGCATAAAACCTGCATGTTTTTAAAAACTGTTCTGCTCAGATCCCTATCCAGAAACCATATTGGACTAACAGCAGTTTTCAATAAAGGTTTACTTGCAGGTAGTCTGAACTTTCTCGAAGGAATCAGATTTTTGCTTTTTTAATAAAAATAAATTAGTCCAATCTCAAATAAAGCCCATTGAAAGCTTAGATGCTGCTATTAAGGGAAATAAAAATAAATAAACTCTGTCTGCCTTTAGAAGGCAACTGATGGTCTCCTGTGGCTTTTTTCCCCCTGTACAATCTACTCTAATCCTTTATAGATGGATACATTCAAAAAGCCTTTTACATTTTTAAATGTGTTGAAATAAGGCACATTTAGGGTAAATGTTGATCATACCAGTCCCTTTAAACCTGTATTATTGCCCAATCGCTCTTCACCTTTTAATTCAGTCTGCATACTGTGTGGTACTGATCTTATTTAGATAATCTTTACTAGAAGTGCCAGCTTGCTCTAGCCCAAGCCTAAATCGTAAGTTGTCCCAGTCCTAGAGGTAGAAAGCAGTTACACCAAAGCGACATCAAAGTTTGTAATGGGATAAAGCTGCAAAAAGGTGAATGCAGATTTGAGTTTCATCCCCAGAGATATTATGTCCCTAACGAGGGCTGTACTAAATCCCTCTTCAGGTGACTGGTATGCCCACAGCTGGACCCTGGTGGTGAATTGTAGGTGCCACCCTGGGCCAAGATAAATACAGTGGCTGAAGTGTAGCTCCTCTGTCCTGGGCGAGATTAAATCAAATCAGCACTTCTCAGCTCTAGTTTGTAACATGGCTCCTAAACAGCTGGACTCTGGTAAATTACAGGTGGTTAGTGGGGTTGTGTAGCTTCGGGCCCGCGTTACCCCAGGGGGTAGCTACACAACAGGAGGGAGTTCCGAGGCGAGCAGCTAAACCCGAGAAAGACGCGGGACGGGGTGACAGATAAATGACCAGCCGGGCAAGAGGTTCACGCGGTAATAGCCAGAACGCGTGGCAGTGTCTAGTCTCGCCCCGCATTGGCGTGGAGTTGTCGGCTATGACGGCTTCCAGCCCACCAGCGACCTGGCTGCATGCGCACTCCCCCTAGAGGGCACTACGAGACGCGGAAGGGAAGGGAAGGACAGAAGCCTCCTTAAGCCGCATGCGCGCCTAACCCCGCTCCGCCCGCTGGGAGAGACGTGCTTGCGCCCGCGCGCGCCACGGAGTTACCGCCACCCCAGTGCTTGAGCCGCTCGTGCTCAGCCCCCTGATGGCCAAGCGACACGCGGAGCCGCTGGTGTGTCACGTGCCCTGGAAGCGTTTCCTACCAGAACCGCCTCCGCTGCTCCGCGCGCCCGGGAGGCGCCCGCGGGACGGCCCCGAGCTGTGGAGCCCTGTCCGCGCGGTACCCGGGGACCCTGACAAGAAGCGGAAACTGGAGGAGGCCGAGGCGCCACCGGGGAAGCGGCCTGGACTCAAGGGCAACAGGCCCGGGGGGGAGCCCGGAGACCCCGCCAGCCCGGGAGGGAGGAGGCAGCAGCAGCGTGGGGGAGACGTAGGGCCGCGGGCGGAGCAGGCGCTGCGGGCAGGCGGCGTCGGCTTGGGGGCGCGAAGCCCGGATCCTCGGGGGGAAGAGCGGGGAACCGAGGAGGTAAAGGCGGGGGAGGGGGTGGTGCTGATTAGGGTGGGCCAGCTGTTAGGGCTTCGGGAGAGTCCCAGCCTGCAGCCCGGGCTCGGTTCCGGCGCGTCAGGGCCCCTGTGCCAGGCGCTGCACGCACTACACCCAGCTCCTCTGTGGGGTGTTTCCCGCATGAGTAACAGCCTGGTAAAGTCAGTGCAGAAAGCACAGCGTGTCCTCCTCATTCCCAGCTGCTCCCTTCACACCAAACTCTCTTATGTGGGGAGGTAAGGCACGTGCCATTACTGGGTGTGGCCAACAAGTGTTGGGCTTATCTGAAACATCTGGTGGTTGTTCACTGTCCAGATACAGTTGCTCCTCCCAGCTACTTCTATGTAAATCATGTTTGAAGGTTGAGCCTTACTATCTCTGCTTTTTAACATAGCATCTTTTGTAGCTGGACCAAGTTAGTGTTTCACTACACAAGTGATTCTTCAGCTGGGCAATATATAAAGGTTATTTGCATCAGTCTCTAACCACAAAGCCATAGGTGCTGGAACTAGGGTATGCTCCAGCACCCCCTGGCTTGCAGTAGGTTCCATGCATGTGGTATACAGGGTTTACAGTTTGGTTCAATGGCTCTCAGCACCCCCCCTATACAGATTGTTCCACCACCGCTGCACAACATTTACTGGTTTAACACAGTGCACAGACTTCACTCTAATTTTAACTAGATAAGGTACCTTACTCTGTATTTCTAAGATTTCTGTGTAGCTTGTGCCTCCTGTAAATGGAGTCTTCCATGCATTACGCATGCCTCCTTCAGGGGTCTTTCATCTCACTGGGACACTACAAGGACCTGTATCACCACTCTCCCTCTCTGTACTCATTCTTTAGGCAGAAGGTAAAACCCAACTTTTCCTGAACGCATGACAGTTTAGTTTGACTTCACTTCACCATTGAAGTGAAGGAGGAGCCCTAAAGATATACCATGTTAATGGCTGACAACATTTCTGGATTACTAAATCCAAAGAGTGGAGGCTTCTCAGAGACTAATTTTTCACTGAAATTTTTTCCTGGCACAGCTGTTCTGTGCAGTGCTGCCAGAGTGACCCACTTGAAGCAACACGTCCAGTGGGATGATGTCACAAATAAGTATCAGTTCAATTATTATTATGATAAAAGTGCAATTTGCAGATCTGTGATACTGTCCATTATATGCAATATTATAATGTAGAAGTATTATCATACTTCTAACCTGTTGCATATCTTTAAACCTGTGGTGAGGCAGAAAAAAAAATGTAGATTTAAAAAATGAAACTAAATGGCAATGGTAGGCGAGAGTTCTACAACACTTAACTTTTGCTGAAGGAAATTCCTGAATAAAACAACTGTAAAACCTCCTCCCCAATTATAAATCATAGAAGCTGGGGGTAGATAAGATCTATTAGTTCATCTCCCTGCCAATTTAGATGTTTTAACTGAAAATAGAAGCCTTGACCAAATTAATGGAGAATTCTTGGAGACTTAGTATTTTTGAAAATCGGGCTAATTATAGACTTAAGGCCCTAGTTTTAGGTACCCATTTTTTAAAATCTGAGTCCTTGAAGACATAACTACGTTCAATTGAGAGCTGTGTTGGGCTTTCTGATTTCCACATACAGTGTCATGTTCTCTTCTCCTGCTCCTTTTTCTTTCCTTCATGGTAGAAATGTACATATGAAATGTGTAGAATTATCCCACAAATGAAGTGAGGAAGGATTTTTCAATCCAATGGAAAACCCATACTAGGCCAGGCTTCGTACAAGAACATATCTGTTTGGAAGGAGAAAAAACAGACTCCTTCCTCCATTGAGTATTTTGGTAGCACAAGTTGGTTTAAGGATTTGTATTGGAAATGTTGAGTTCATTATTTATCTCTGTTTTTACCTTAAATCAGGGTAATTGTAATTACTAATTGTAATTATGTAAACCTTTTTTCTTGTATAGAAGGCTGTAAACATACCTTGTTCTGTCTTACTAAGGAGATAGATATGACTTACTGAAAACAATTCTGCAGAAAGATTTTATAAAGATTTGTAAATTTCTGTTTTTAAAGTATTTTTTGGGCTATATGTTGACAAATAAGTCTTGACAAATTTACTAGTTTCTATAAACTCTGCTTAGGGTGCTTCTTTTTTGATATCCTCTAGCTTCAAATTTATCAGACATACACACTCCTGAAGAGGTGGAGTTTTCTGATAACAGAGCTACTTGGTTACTCTACCCCTCTAACCTGTTTATTTGGGGTCCAGCACACAGCTAACTCGATCATTGATGTTTCTACTGCTCATAGCTCTCCCAAACCGCAGCATAATGAAATTAACATTATTCACAATTTTATTGCTTCCTATAAATGTCATAATAACAGTAGCAAAACAGACTGGAAGCTTTTTTAATGTCATGCTGCTGCTTGGCAAAGCTGTTATAACTGCATTTGTCCTAGAGCTGACTTTTTGCAGACTCAAGAAGACAGCATAGTGTGTCACATATGGGAGTTTATCTTTGTACCGGTAGAGTTAGAAAAATCAGCCTTTTAAAACGAAAGATTAAATTCTGCAGAAATTGATGGTTTAAGGTCTTTAGGCTTTCCACTTACCCTTGACAAGTGGATTTTCGAAGCCCTGTTTTGAAAATATTCCAAGGTTATACGAAAGATCTGACCCTTTCCCACACATTCTTTTTGCTCGTGTTTGGCACATGCAGCGATCTTTTGTGGTCTGAAGTTATCCTTTCTTTGGCAGTATAGATTGTGCATGATACAAAGAGACTTTCTCTTTGTTACATTTTTTTTCCTTTAGATAAATAAGCTGAGGTCCTGATCCTATAACAACTTACACACATGCTTAAAGATAATCACATGAGTGGTCCCATATCAAATTAAGCATGTGACTTCTTTGCATTGGGGCCCTACATTGTAACCACTTGGGAACAGGGATTGTCTGCTGTATGGTTGTACGGTTCCTAGCACAATCAGACCCTAACTTGTTTGAAGCCTGTATAAGCTTCGACAATGTAAATCGTTACTTTTTATTTGCATCATTGATACTATGCAATATAAAAATTTTAGTTTGAAAGATTTTGATGCCTGCAATCCTCTATATTTATTATAAATGCAATTTCGTCTTTATTTCAATTAAAATGTAAATAGCTCTTCCATCTCTATGGCACTACGTTCTCCTACTGCTTGTGGCACGGACATCTAGCTTATGGGTATACTATGCTGTTTTAGTCTGTTTCCAAAGAATTTGTATAAATGAAAAACACAATTTGTGATAGTAAGCAGTACATTGCCTAGCATATTGGTGTTCTGGTCCTTGACTAGAGTTCCTAGGCACTATGGTAATACAAATAATAATGATAAAGTACTGTTAGCTGAAAACATAGTGCATTTGTGCACATGTATGAGAATGTAGGTTTTGCAAAATGCCTAGAGATCTTCATAAAAACCACACGTTGAGTTCAAACACTTAATATTATGACACCAAATGACTGCCTGATAATTCCATGTTATTATTTTATCACATTTTGTTCTCTTCTACTGCGGAGCCAGCAGAGGGTGCAAAATTTTATTATTTCAAAAGCCATGTCTACACTGAATGATGCCAATTCAGTAGTTAGAAATACCATATTAATTTCAAACTCCATTAGAAATGGAAAGAATTGTTTCAAGATTCTGAGTATTAGAAACAATACAGTAAAACAAAATTATACAGAAATACATGTCCTTTTAAGTTGTGACAGGAGTAATTGTTTTTGCTTAGTCCCTTAGTTTAGGAAGGAATCATGAGTCGGGAGGAACAACTTTGATACATAAGTTTTTTTTATATATTCCACAATGGATGACTTGGAGGTTTACTTATGTTCCCTTTTTATGGTCTGTGTTTCTTCAACAGAAACAGTCTTTGCATGGAGTGTCTCACTCCATTAACTTTAGTGCTGCTTATTTGAGTAATGATCTCTGGCTAAAAACAGATAGCAGATTTGCCAGCAGAAAGGGGAAAAAAACAGTTTTGTAACAAATCTGTCTGTAGAGTAAATCAGTAATGAATTTGTTCCAGTCTTATCAGTTGTCATCTGCACTGCTTATCATATACCCTGGTGAAAATTCATTATTAACATTGCTTTGTTTGTATTTGCATATATGTAGATGTAGAAAGAAAAACTGAACAGAAAATATTAGAAATCTTTTCTAATATATTGCTTTCACTGTAGCTACCATTCTTTAAATATATCTACCATAGATGCATTCAGTTCTCTACTGGGGAAATACTTATGATTCTTGTAACTGATAACACTTATGGCAGGGGTGGGCAAACTTTTTGGCCCAAAGGCCATATCTGGGTGGGGAAGTTGCATGCAGGGCTATGAATGTAGGGCTGGGGCAGGGGGTTGGGGTGTGGGAGGGGGTGCGGTGTGCAGGAAGGGGCTCAGGGCAAGGGATTGGGGTGTAGGAGGGGGATCAGGACAGGGGGTTGGGGTGCAGATGGGGTGTGGGGTGTGGGCTCCGGCCCGGCCCCGCTTACCTGGAGCAGCTTCGGGGTGGCAGCGGCTGGCACCACGTCCCTGGGGGAGGGGGAGGGCAGAGGGCCCCGCGCGCTGCCCTCGCCTGTGGGTTCCACACCCGAAGCTTCCATTGGCCGGGAACAGGGAACCGCGGCCAATGGGAGCTTCAGGTGTGGAACCCACATATGAGGGCAGCGCGCTGAGCCCTCTGCCCCTCCCTTCCCCAAGGGCCACAGGGACATGGTGCCGGCCGGTTCCAGGAGCGGTGCGGGGCACACGGTGCCACGGGGGTGACAATCCTGCAGGACGGATCCAAAGCCCTGAGGGGCTGGATCCAGCCCGCAGGCCATAGTTTGCCCACCCCTGACTTATGGAAATGTTCTTGAATGTTCCTTAAGCTAAGAAACGTCTCATGAGTCTCAGACTTTGAAATTGTCCATAGTGTTCGTATATTTCGTGAGAGGCAACAAAGGAGGGTTTGTAATGAACAATATTGATTTGTGTAAAGTTTAAAAAAGTGCAGAAACATTGCCTCTTAAATATATCATTGCATGCATAAACTGTGAGCTGCAGTAGACATGGTTGTACACAAGGTACTCAAAGATAATACAATAGTCCTCAGCAAAAATATTTAAATAATTATGCCAAAAACAGAAGCAAATTATTTGGTTAGGATTGTCCATTATTTTTTAATGTATTACATTTAAAACATTTAAGAAAGTAAAATATATAACCCTAAAACCATCTGGGAAATATCTCTTGGTTCAGTTTATTTTGTAAAGGGGGTTATTCTCTTCTTTCTACTGCAGTGCCATACATTAACACATTGTGTTTTATTTCCAAAGCATGAGGAAGAATTTTGGCAATACAACTCATTCCAGTACTGGAGAGCACCATTACCTGCTATTGATCTGTCTGTCATTCTGGACTTAGATGGGGAGAACATGACAGATGCAAGAACTACTTCCAGGATTGAAATCATAGAGACTGAAATGGAGACCTGAGTAATTAATTCCTTGTAGCAAATCTATTTTGAGGAGGCTTGTCTCTGTTTGTGTTCAGGCTTTTCCTACTTTGGAACAATAAGTATATTTCTGACATTTTGAAAAAAAGAATTTTATACTTTTGTCAATCTGCACAAGTAAGGATGGGTTTGTCTACATTGATTGAAGGGTCATTGTTGGACACTTGCCAATAAACTGGAAAGGTGAATTTACCTATACAATGAAGAGAAGGCTACTGACACAGGACTGGCAGAAATATTTGAAAACGTGGATGTGTAACAATTTGTAGAAAATCAGAATTTATTTCTGGACTTTCATAGCCAGCAAAATGAATAGCTTGGAGCATTACCGGTAGAAGACAAATCCCAAAACATTCCTCCTGCCCTGAACAGAAAGGATGTAGTTAACATACATAAAAGTGAAATTTTTATACCATGCACTTATTTAAAAAACTACACCAAAACAACCACCTTTACAATCTTTTCTGATGTTTTTTGCTTTAGATGTTGAACAAAAACAAACAAAAATCAGATTCTATGCAAACCATAAATGATTATGGTGGGATAGTCTTTTCTGCTCAGAGCTGCCCTAAGTTACTTCACCTTCTCGCTAGTGATAACTCGAAGCAGTGGGTGGCTTGTGGGTGCTTTGTTTTCTTTTTCACATGCTCAAGTTAGTGCTATTCCCATTCTTTGTGTCATTGGGTTTAGAGCATTTTGTGGAGTTGAATTGCCTGAGATGTACAAAGCTGACAAGAAGAGCAGTGTGAAATGATCAGGCACACTTTTTCAGGGTTGAGTGATTTAGGTCCTGGGCCTGCAAAGACTTGAGCACGTACATAACTTTTCACACCTATGTAGTCCCATTGAATTAATGTGCTGCTGCAGAATTGGGACCTTAGAGCTCTATTTTTTTTATTTGATAGACTTTTGTCGGTAATAATTGGCCGAAATTAGATGTCTTATCAGTTAACTTTGATTTCATGTGATTTGTCTCCAAGTATGGTGGAAACAAGATATTTTTGTTGGTATCCTATCTGCTTTGAGAAGGTTTTTGGTGAATTTTTTAAAAAAATTTTTTGTTAAAAACAGAGTTTTCAATGTATATTTGAGCATTTTTGTACTATATTTAAATTACCCAACTTTTCTTCTGTCTTCAGAATGTTACTGACATAATTGTAATTTGTTATTGCTTGGATATGTTTGTTTACAGTACTAAGTTGGATGGCCTACTTAGTAAACATTTGGAAAATCGTTTTTAGTGTTTGTACTTTGTCTTCAGTTTTTACACTGTGCAGCTTGAATTCATTTTTTGTGGTGCACACAGAGGTGAAGAAAGGGGCTAGACCTGGGCATAGCATGAAGCTTTTGCTGGAAATCTTCCTTACCATGCTGCTTCGGTGTATCCTGGTTCTCTCCTCAATGTTCCCCTTTGCTGTGTTCCCGTAAATAGACTTCTTGAACTCAAGTGGCCAGTATTGCTGGATATTTGTCAGATTGTATTGGTGTTTTTATTTGACTAGACCTCAGTTGCACTATAGCAAAAAAAAAAAAAATTTTTTCATTTTAATTTGTATGTGATCCTACATCTCCAGAGGGGTAGCTAATGCTCTAATCATTGCTACTATATCAAGGTCCATTTTTAAAGCTTTTATTGTTTATTTTGACTGTTCAATTTTTATTATTTAAGTTTTACAGCATCTTGGATTTAAAGGGACATAGTCAACTTTTTTTTTAAAAAAATCACTTTTGTGCATAAAATTTTAAAAAAATTATGTACTTTTCAATAACACCTATGTTTACTATAACTAAAAGAAGTTAGTAGAAAATAAGATTTTTCTTTCTTTTTTCTTTGTTTATTTTGTGTATTTGACATCTTTGTATGTGATCAGTCCCCCTATTTCCATAAGTTCTTGTGGTTTATTTATACAACAACAAAGTAGAAAAATCATTTTTAAAAATAGGAAAATATTTTAAAATCACAAACTATTAAGGGAGCGTAGTACTTAAAATTACTTTTAATTCGATATTTTAAGCTGACCATATTTCTGGCAGTGTTTTTATAAAACATGAATAACATGCACATTAACAAAGGTTACAGTCATACTCCACTACCTAGTTGTTTAGCAGCCTATTGAACCAAACACTGACTAGAACCAATTACTGTTTCAAAAGGCGCCACAGTTTCCTTCAAAATTCCAGGTAAGAAAATGTGAGGCAGAAGAATAGAGAATTAAAAAAAAAAAAAAGTGTGTGTGTGAAATTAAACATCTTACACTGCATATGCTGAAAAGGCAAATTTGGTTACTAGTATACCATTCTTTTCTATATATCATCTGTGCAGGATTCTCACTCCTAGGTCATGTGTTCTTTAGTACAAGACACAGAACTGTTCTCATTCTCAAGATTAGAACACAAATCACGCCCCTTTAGGGCTTTTGGGCACAACACCCCTTTAAGTGTCTAGTTGGTGACGGAGGTTTTTTATGAGAAGGGCATGCATGACAGTATCAAAAGCCTTACTAAAGTAAAGATCTACTACTTACCCCCAAGGCTTGTTACCCTATTAAAGAAAGCTATTTGGTTGGTTTGACACAATTTGTTCTTGATAAATCCATGCTGAGTTGTTACTTATCTTCTAGGTGTTTACAAATTGATTGCTTGATTATTTTTTCCATTATCTTTCCGGGTACTGAAGTTAAGTTGACTAGTCTGTAATTCTCTGGGTTGTCTTTATTTCTTTTTTTTTAATAGATGGGCACTATATTTGCCCTTTTCCAGTTCTCTGGAATCTCTCCCGTGTTCCATGACATTTCAAAGATAATCACTATTGGCTCAGATATCTCCTCAGCCAGCTCAAAATGTTGTGCACATAATTTTTAATTTTTTTGGTGCAGAATTCCCCCAGGAGTAAAGCATGTAGAAGATCCCTGGGGTGAGTTCGTGGGGGGAGAGATTGCAGGAAGACACTTATGCTAGGGGCATGTTAGCCCATAATTCTTGCATGTTTTCTTGAAGCATCTGGTATGGCATAGTTAGAGACAATATTAGATTGGATTGACTGCTGGTGTGACAAAGCAATTCTTGTGTTCCTTAGGTGATGCTGGTGTCCCCCAGGGGTCTGTACTGGGCTCAGTCCTATTTAACATATTCATAAATTATCTGGAAAAAGGGGTAAACAGTGAGGTGGCAAAATTTGCAGATGATACAAAACTACTCAAGATAGTGAACCCCCAGGCAGACTTGAAGAGCTACAAAAAGATCTCTCAAAACTGGGTCACTGGGCAACAAAATGGCAGATGAAATTCAATGTTGATAAATGCAAAGTAATGCACATTGAAAAACATAATCCCAACTATACATATAAAATGATAGGGTCTAAATTAGCTGTTACCACTCAAGAAAGAGATCTTAGAGTCGTGGATAGTTCTCTGCAAACATCACTCAGTGGGCAGCGGCAGTCAAAAAAGCGGACAGAAAGTTGGGAATCCTAAAGAAAGGGGTTGATAATAAGACAAAATATCATATTGCCTTTATATAAATCCATGGTACGCCCACATCTTGAATACTGCTAGCAGATGTGATCGCCCCATCTCAAAAAAGATATATTGGAATTGGAAAAGGTTCAGAAGAGGGCAACAAAAATGATTAGGGGTATGGAATGGCTGTAGCATGAGGAGAGATTAATAAGACTGGGACTTTTCAGCTTGGAAAAGAGAGGACTAAGTGGAGGATATGATAGAGGTCTAAAAAATCATTACTGGTGTGGAGAAAGTAAATAAGGAAGTGTTACTTACTCCTTGTCTTAACACATGAAGTAGGGGTCACCAAATGAAATTAATAGGCAGCAGGTTTAAAACAAAAGGAAGTATTTTTTTCACACAACGCATAGTCAACCTATGGAACTCTTTGCCAGAGGATGTTGTGAAGGCCAAGACTATAACAGTTCAAAAGAGAACTAAATACATTCATGGAGAATAGGTCTATCAATGGCTATTCGCCAAGATGGGCAGGGATGGTGTCCCTAGCCTCTGGAATTGGTGATGGGATGGATCACTTGATGATTACCTGTTCTGTTCATTCCTTCTGGGGCACCTGGCATTGGCCACTGTCTGAAGACAGGATACTGGGCTACATGGACCTTTGGTCTGACCCAGTATGGCCATTCTTATAATGTTAAATAACTTTTAGACCAACCTGTACATTTGGCTGGGTTAATTATTTCAGAGCATACAGTTATAACCTTGACACTGTAGGTGGCAGTGTACATACACAATAAACTATTGTAAAACGGAAAAATTTGTTTTCATTGGAATGTTATCCTGAACTGTTGCTGAAAATTCAAGCAAGTGACATCGTGAATGTTAATCATTTCTTTACTGTGATTCACAACTGAAGGCAGATCAAGGCACAAGTTCCTGATTACAAGGTAACACAAGCTCTTCAATTTTATTACAGTAAAAACATTTCACCAGAGTTTTCAGAGTCCATCACCCTGTTTCTCTCTCTGAAAGCTTTTCAATTTAAGCACATGGAAATTTGTAGTAATTGTTTCTTAGCACTGTTTCCATTAGCTGCAGTTGCAAAGCAAGCTTTATCTGATTGTGTGGTGGATGGAAACTTCAGTCTAAAATTCAATGGCTGAAGGCTACGTGAAGTTTATTCATTAGTCATAGGGATGAAGAAGGTAAGTATGTTAACTCATAAGAATGAGAGTTATTGTTGGGGCAATATTTAAGAATTTGTATATAACTTGAAATGTATGATGAAATGTCCAATGTATTCTTATGGTTTTAATGTATGATTCTGCTTTTCAGTAACTAGTGAAAACAAGAATATGTTTGCTTCATTAAAATGATCTTGAATTTAAACTGCATATTTTATTATGGGATTTGATTTCAATACAGTAAGCAATGCAGTTTTTAATCATCAGTGTTTCTCTTTAAGTGAACTGTTCTGTTAATATGAAGGTAATTTGAGCACTTTTGTGCAATGAAATGGTATCCAATATCATTGAACAAATGTACTTAAAACCATTCTTCCTATATTAAAACCATGCAAATCATTCCAGAGTGTTATGGACTGTTTCTTAGCTGAAGTAAAAACAGTTTCCTTAATGCTATTTATTGCTAGCATCTGAAAAACTGGAAAATTGTTTTCTGATAATATCATTTCATAGTTGAGACTGTATGGGCAATCGGACAGATTACCTTTGGATTTTCTTGGAATGACTGAACTGATGAAAGTGGGAACAGGGGCTTGTGGAGTACTGCACCTCTTTTTTTCTTTGTTTGTTCTATGATAGAATTTTTTAGGGATCCGATTTGAATATCGTGGAAACAAAACTGCATGAGAAATATGAGGCTGTGAAGAAGAAATTAAAAGAAAAAGCTGTAGTGGCCTCAATGAAAACTTGAAGGAAAGCGTTAGTTATCTCTGGTTTATATATATAGGACCATAGACATGAACTTTTACACAATATATGACACCACACACAGCTGAGTTTTGTAATGCCCTTGATTGGAACAATGCATAATATGCTTCTAATTACATTGAAACATATATAATGTAGTCTCATAGGATCAAATCTTAAGCGTCAAACCTCCTGTTTCTTTATAAAGGGAAAGTGCGGAGTGGATTTCCTTTGTGACCTTTTATATTCCAGATTCTGTAATTTTTTTGTTAGTTTGTTTCCTCTCCCTTTTCTTCTTGGGATCTCAAACAGATAAATTTTGCTTCTGATTATATAAATGCTGTACACATTAATTTGATAAACAACAGATATAGACTAAATGCCGCATAGTTTTACAATTGTCGGTTGTCAATCACAGTATATTTTGACCAGGCAGTATCATCAAATCTTGCTACTATGCTCATATTAGAGAGTTATTAATGTGCTTTTTAAGTACTCATTTTTATGAACGATGGAAAACTTTCTATGGTTAAATGGTGGAGTACTATGCTTAAGAGAAAACTTTGTACTTCCTTGTAGATACCATGCAATTTAAGGAGGAATACATGGCATGAAAGAGGAAAATATACAGCTTTTTTCTTATCAGGTGCATCAAAGTCGTTCAATGTTGACAGCCAAATTGTACTCTCAGTTGCACTCTATAGTGACACCCTGAAGGCGAGGGGCAGGGGGCAGTGCAGCCCCCCCCCCCCCAAAATAAAACTTCTTAAAATGAATAATATCCAAACTGAAGTGACTTTAAAAAATTAGCTTGAACTGGAACCCAAATACTAAAATGCATTAATCACAAGCAATATGATTGCATGGTATAACTACAAGGTAAGGTTAAGATTTCTTTTGATGCCTTAACTGTGCATTATCATTCTTTAATATGAGGAGGTGGTGGTTTGGGTTGGTTGGTTGGGTTTTTTGTTTTTTTGCCCTTCAATTACTGATAACTACTCTCAATCTTAACTTATTTTATGTAGTAGGATTTGGGGGGGGGGGTCGTCCCCTTTTATGTGTGAATATAGGCATTCAGATTCCCCATTAATAAAAATAAGAAACATTTTGCCT